TCATTTCCTCCATCATTGCAAAAGTCATCTTTGCTCTTCTTTAGATTATTTCTTTTTCTAGGTTCCAGTGCACATGCTGTCTACTAATAGCATTTAATAACATAAAATAATCTGTAGAAGTGCTGCTTTAAGCTTAGTCAGCCTCACCAGTCCATTTAATCCGGCATCGCTGTCCCTCGCCAGCACCACCGCCACTTTTTTCCCGAAGGCCGTGTTTTCTGGGATGCTCACAGACGTATCTGATGTAATATCAAACTCCGGCCTGTTGTCATTTTCATCCAGAATGGTAATGGAAACCTGTGAAGAAGCAGAATTACTACTAGGTTCCCCCACAGGTTGAAGATCGGCACTTACCTTTAAAATACATTAAGTGAAATAAAAACAGACGTTAAAAGTGTCACAGTGAGGGGAAAACACCTTACCTTCTACAGATCCAAAGAGGGATGCAATTGATAAAAGGGTAAAGCTGTTAGTCTAAAACAAACGTGACACATTAAATTTAGAACTTAAAATTCAGAATTAGAAGCCTGTAACTTCCAAACAGAGAGACGTACCACAGTGGAGTCCTTCTTCGGTCCTCCATCGTCAGCTACAACAGTCAGCGTGTAAGAATCCCCCCTCTCTCTGTCCAGCAGGCCTGTTACTGTGATACGGCCCTGCATCACCACAAAAGGTCAATAAAAAAGAAAACTACTTTAGAAATGACTTCAAAGAATGGAGCTCTTTGATCAGATTTCCTTCGTGCAGCAACAACTGCAGAAAAAAAGGGTATTTTTAAATCACTGTGTGATAAACAGATGAAACATACTACAGGAAAAATCTTTTGCTGTAGTTTTAGCTGCAAGTCTATTAGGGTATGTTTCCATCTACTGACTTTTTATGCATTCTTCTTTGCCACATGGCTGAACTAAAGTCAGATTGATTAATTGATCGGTTTCGTCATAGATTATCTCATGTGATTGAGGCCCCGTCCACACGAAGTCAAACCCTGGCCTAAATTCACTAATTTTTCACCAAACCAGCCTCTCATCCATATAAAGCCGGCGTTTCAGGGTCTGTAAAC